AGCGCAGGGAGGGGATGCAGCGTGCACCAAACCTCGCATTTCTCAGGGATGAAATCATCCGGCTCATTTCTCCGAGGCACAGAAGTCCAAACCCCCTCTTTCTTTTTTTTTCCCCTTGCAAAGCAGCCGCTTATTAGCTCTTGGCAGCAGGGCCGAGGCTGCCGAGCCCATCAGCTCATGGCCGCATGAACCATGCGGTGCTGCAGGAACCAGGGGCCCCTCCATCCCCTGGGCTCCCCAGCCTTGTGTTGCACCGTGGGGCTGCTCCCTAGGAAGCGATTCCCTCCCGCAGGAATGCTGCTGCCCAGCGGAGGTCACGTCCCATCGGCTGAGCCAAAGCTGCCTCCGCATCCCGCTGCCTCCTTTGCAGGAGGGGAAACTGAGGCACGCGTTTAGGGAGCGGATTTAGGGGCCAGAAGCAGGACCCAGGGACTGCCCCAGCCACATTGCTCCAGCTTGGAATGCAAGGATGCCCTTTCCCTGCTCCGGGTTAGCTCCAGCAGTCTGACCTGTGACCGAACCAGTTCCTATCGGAGCCGGGTTTAGCAGAACATCACATTGAGAATGAAGCACTTCGGAGCAGAGGGAAGGAGATTCCCTGGCTGGTTTCCCCCTCTCCCCAGCACAAAGCAGCAGCAGCACCATTGCCCCATGCCCAGCATGGGCCAGCACCTCCATCACCTTCCAGCCATGGGATGCGGGACTGGGATTGCCTTTGCCACCCCAGCCCAGGGGAGCAGTTTACCCCTGGGGCTAAATGGTGTCAATCTGGGGACTCGCTTTTCACCCAACTCTACCCTTCCCATGGCACTAGGACACCAAGGGTGACCCCCCCTCCATCCTGCCCCACACAGGGATGGGGCTGACAATGTCCTCCAGCCGGCAGTTCACATGGGGAAGAGACCTCGTGTTCCATAGAGCTGATGGAAGGGGAGCAGCGCACCCCATTTGTGCTCTCAGTGATGCTTTGCTTGCTTCTTGCTCTCTCGCAGCACCCTGCAGGGTCCCTGTGCTGGCACCCCGAGCTCTGCAGCTCAGCAGCCGCGCTTCCTTTAGCTTTTAGCTAAAGAGAGGACAGCTTTCCCCTCTCCTCCTCCTTATCCACACAGCACAAGGGGGGACTGCAACCCCCTTCAGACCACGCTGGCACCAGGGATGGGGTAGGACCAAGCTGGGAAGGCTTCCTGCAGCCACAACAGCACTTCAGAGGGTGGAAGGGCTCCTGGTGTCAGCTCCGCAGTGGGAAGAGCTGCCAGTGTTGGTTAACACAAGAACAAGGGGGTGATTCAATGCGACTCCAACAAAGTGCAATGGAAACCACAAAAGCAAGGCTTTGGAGCCAACCCCCCAATTAGCCAGTGGGACCCAGCATCACAAGATGCTGCTCAGGCCAAGGCTTTAGTAGGGGTTTATATAAATACATCATCAAATGCATGAAGGGCTGCCCACACATAGGGGGAACGGGGACATTGGGGTGAGAGAGTCGACAAGGACAAAGCCTTGGGCAATAGGAAAGGCAGAAGGAAAGGAGTCATTGAGCTGCCATGGGCACCCCATTGCCATCCTGGGTGACACGGCTCTGTCACTGCTGCCCAGGGCTCCCTGTGCCCCTTGGGGGGGAAAGCAGAGGGTGGATATGGCTGGTGCCATTGCAGCAGCACCCTGCGCCCATGGCCTCCATCACCTCCTCTGCACTGTCTGGGCAAGCTGCAATGGAAACACCTGAGTCGTGTCTCGTCCTCCCTTGGGTTTGGCCTTCATCCTTGCCTCCTCCTCCTTCCAATCCAGTACTTTTCCTCTCCGAAGGCAGGCGCCAGCCCGATCCTTTCCGCGCATGACATGGACTGCCTCAGGCATCCAACCCTGTGCTCCCTGTGCCGCCACCATGGTCCCCAGTGGGGTGAAGGCACAGCCCCATCCCTCAGGAGCTGCTGCCCCTTGGAGAAGTGCTCCTATTTAGGGTAAAGCAGGTCCATCCTGGCCAAGGCATGGCTGGGGACACCCTGGTTATTGCTCTTTCCTGTATTAACAGTGCTCCTACAGCGAGGTGATACCAACAGTGCATTATCCCATTGGGAACACAACGCTGTCCCTTCAGCCGCGGGGGATACCACCATGAGCTTCCTGTCGCCAGGAAAAGCCCAGCCTGAGGACAGCCACCTCCAAAACCATTCAGCCACAGGCACCAAAAGCACTGGAGATGTCCCAGGCTGAAGAGAGAGCCCTGTGCCTTGGTGTGGGGAGATCAGCATTGAGTGCACTGAGCTGCCCCACACCAGCATCCTCCTCCATGTGTGATGGCGAGGGGAAACCAGAGAGCACCGAGAGCTGGAAGGCCAGGGGATGACGGATGCACAGGCCTGGTGTGGGGAGGGATCTCTGCGGCCCCGTTACGTTACACACGAAGCAGACCTGCCTGTGTTGCTTGGCGCAGCAAACAGGGCTGTCGGAGCCCCAGAGGTGCTCAGAAACTGCTCCAAATATTACAGCCATAAATTCAGCTCATTTCTAACTGCTAAGAGCTGCCAAGGGCTTTGGCTTCATCCATCTCTCCCCAGCCTCTGGGCTAGAGCCCTGCAGGCTCCTGTCCCTCTGCAGCTCCTTATTCACGGACCCTGCCTGCCCCAGGCACCGTTCCTCCATCCCTGCTTCCCCACACCCGGACATCTTCATCCCCATGGCCCTTTGTGGTGTGTTGAGGACACGCTCAGAAGCTGGTCCCTAACCCCTGCTTGCCTCCCTTGCTCTCACCGTGAGAGCAAAACCCCGTCTGCTTTGCCCAGCATCCTTCCTCCTCTGAAAGCAAATGCTCTGTTTTCTTGTCTCAGCCTCTTTCAAGGAATAAAGATCCTATGGAACATAGGTCTTTTCCCTCCCTAAGAGAAACCCGGTGGGTTCTTCCCCCTTTCCTGAGCTGGGTTATTTCATTCTCACACTTGGCCATGCCCAGGCCTGCAGCCCCATCCCTTTCCCTGCAGCAGGATGCACAGTGCTTGCAGGGAAGAGTTAACTCTTCCTCACAGGTCCTACCCGTGGGGCAGATGCTGAGAGCAGGGAAACATCAGAGGAAGCATCAGATTTCCAAGACCATTCCAGAAGCGGCCCTCCAAGGGCTGTATCCTCACACCCCTCTCCCTATAAACACTTCCCTTCCTATAAACCTCTTCCCTCCATGCTGGGGAAGAGCAGGGCTGTGATTAACCCGGGCTCATCTGGAATCATCCAGAGCAGCCTCATCCCCCAGCCCTTCCCTGGCTTCATGGGGCCACTCATCACCCAAATGCTTGAGGCTCTGCTGTGCAAAGAGATGGAGCAGAAACCTCTTCAGCCATTCACAAGGGGAGGTGGGTGCCTCATTTCCCCCTATGGGGTTCAGCATCTCCCATGGAGCAGCACTAGGAGTGCTTCCTTCAGGTCTGGGATGCTGGGGCTCACTGCTTCCATTCCAGGGGCACGAGCTGGGAAAGTGGGAATAGACCCTGGGAAACATCCCTCAGTTCCCTTCCTTCAGCCCCAGCCTTTGCTTTGGAACATGGCAGCAGCTTTGGGAAGGGACAGAGACCCCAGAACACTCCCCCAAGCGCAGGTGAAAACACATCCCTAAAAACAGTCTCCGTTTCCCATCAAGGACTTGAGCGAAGGTAAAAATAGGAGTGAAATATTTTGATTGTATGGAATAAAAATGTTTCCTTCAGCTCCAAGGGAGATTTTTCCAACAGTGCTGTTTTACGGGAAATGGCTTATTTGTGTTTTTGCATTATTTTGGAGTGGAAAAAAAAGGCCGAATATGGGGCCCTTCCAATGAAACTGAAACCCCTGCTCCCATCCGGCTCCAGGCGCTGCTCTCACTCACTCCCTGCTTTTCAACAGAGCTCAACCCAGGCCCAGAAATGGAAAAGGCACCACAGGAGGAGCGGCTCCTGCGGATGGGGTCCCTGCCTCCCCTGGAACAACAGGAGATCTCACAATGGAAGCTGTCCTGCTGCAAATCCCAGCTTGGTTTAAACCAAGTCCAGAAGCCCGATAGCCAGGACTCTCCATCACAGCTCCGCGCTTGTTTCGCTGGGGATGGTTTTGCCCTCTTCCTGCCCCGTGGAGCCGGTCCCATCGTTGCACAAGGCTCAAGATGAACTCTTCCCAAGCCACGATAAGAGTTGGAAGCGAAGGAGATGAAGGGAAACAGCAAATAAATCAAGCTCCTCCTGTATTTTCCACCTAGCTGAGCTCCATTCCTTATCACTCCGTCTCTCCCCACTTGCTCCCAGCCCTTTCCAGCCATTCCCTGGCACAGCTCCATGGGTCCAGCCTTTACAGTTGCCTCCTGCAACTGTGCTGGAATCTGTCTCCCCTCTCTCCTTTCCTGTTTTTCCAGGTGATTTGGGGTGAGAGGGAGCAGAAGCTTCCTGCATCCCTCCAGAACCTGCCCCTCCTGCTCTCGGAATAGGATGCGGATGCCCATCAGCATCTCAGGCTCTGCCCCATCTCCTCTTGCCAGGTTCAAGGAGGGGTGAAGCCCCTTCAGACACTCTCCAACCAAGTAGCTCTGCTCAGCAGCAACCTGGTTCCAATTAATCCCTCAGACAAGAGAACAACCTCGAGCCTGGGAGGGGTTTAACCCCTTCGAGGAGGGAGAGCAAGAGAAGATGGGGCTGTTTGAAGGCTGCATCTGAGTCCTCCATCCCCAGCAGGGATGGGGATGTGGAAAGTGAAGCTAAACCAGGGGGGATTTCTGGAGCTTTATACTGGAATCTGGGAAGGCAGATCCCCCTCTCTTGGTCACCCCTGGACCCAGCTCCCAAGGCTCTGGGGAGTGGGGGGAAAGGGGCAAATAAGGCACCATGTGCAGGATTCTGGAGCTGGCACTGCGCATGGCTGGAAGGGATGGAGCTCATCCCTGCACCTCCATCCTCATCCCTCCACCCCTTCAGTCCTGGGGTCCCCATGCAAGCCCACTGTGCCCCCAAAACCTAGGGAGAGGGGGAACCTGGAGCCTTCCTCACCTCGAAGAGGATGGGGGATGCTTGGCAGCCCCCGGCCACGCTCCCGGAGTGGCGAGGAGCTGGAGCAGCCGTTTCCCCTGCATCCCGGGATCCAGGGGTTAAATCCCCAGGCTGGTGAGTCAGAAAATCTTTGATGCAGCCAGAAGGAGCTGAGTAATTTGTGTATCTGCAGAGGTCACATTGCCTCCTCTCTTCTCATGTCTGTTACTCATGCTGCTCCTGCCCACTCTCCCTCCGCAGCCTGGACTCTGCTTTCAAGCTCACCAGCTCCTTTTACTACTGTTGCTATTCATTATTGGTATTAGAGGAGCCCCTGGCAGTAGCTGCCCATCATAATGCTGGTTCCCACTGTAGGTAGGGTGGGTGCCAGAGCCCTCTCCCTTCTCCTCCAGGGTATCCATCGCTCCCTGCTCTGCAGCTGCAGCTCAGGCCCCAGCAGCATCATCTCTACAGGAGAAACCCACCAGCTCTGGATCTTATTGCCCACAAAGTCACTTAACCCCCGAGCTACTGAGGCAACGCAAGGCAGAGCGGCACAGCCTTAAACATCTCTAGTTTTGAGCCCATCAGCTTGGCTGGGCATCTCCTGCGCTCCCACACACCAAGTGACAACCAGAAATCACAGCAATTCACTGCAACCTCAACCCAGCTACGGTGAACAAGGCACGTCTTAAAGCACAGCATCTCCCAAGGAACAGCTTTAATAATCCCAGGTTGCTCCAAAGCACGAGGGCAGCCAGAAAGACTTCCCTGCGCTTAATCAAATCACTTCATTAGTTGTTTAATAAGCAAGGGAGCTCTGGGAACACCGGGGTTTCACTGCTCTCAAACAGCAGTTTGGAGAAGGAATTTATGGCAGAGCTATTAAGGGCCAATCAATCCACCTTTAATCCTCCCGCAGCCTCTACACCACATAAACCATCCCTGCTCCCACTGCCCTGGGTGACCTTCAGGATGCTTCCCTGGGAGCTGCCTCAAGGGATGGAGATGATCCAGGGACATTGTTTAACCAGCCCCACCGTGGGCAGCATCCCGGCTCCCACAGACCAGCAGCAGCTCAGGGATTCCTGTGCAGGAACCGGGCCCTCTGCAGCACACAGGGAGGAGGAGGAGGGTGGTGGAAAGGGGAACATTGACTAAATTGGGCTGCCCCATCCCTGGCAGTGCTCAAGGCCAGGTTGGACACAGGGGCTTGGAGCAAGCTGCTCTAGTGGAAGGTGGCCCTGCCCGTGGCAGGGGTTGGAGCTGGAGGAGCTTTAAGGTCCTTTGCAGCCCAAACCAGTTTGTGATCTATGATCCCACTGCTCAAACTCCCTTCCCTTCCTATTGCCTTTGCACTTCAGGACAGTTAGAGCCGAGGGACAGTGACCCCTGAGGCACGAGCGAGGTGGCTGGGATGGGAGCCCAGGGATGGCACACCACAGCCTGGGATCGCAATCCCAGCTGGCGCCCATGGGATAAAGCAGCTACAAGAGCCCGAGGCTGCAGCCAGAGCCCCGGGTCAGCTCCATGGGCTCCTGCCAGCCCCTGCTCACCGGTGTCACGGGGAGCTCAGACCCACAGACATTGCCAGAAGCTGGCTGCTGCCTCAGCGAGCGGGGATTAGAGCTGACAGAGCCCCTTCCTAAGGGGGGGACACTTGAGCAGACACCTCCAGAATGCCTTTCCCAGGCCTGCTGCCCCAAAGGGCTCCCAGCATCTGCGATGCGCTGTTCCCTGGTCCCCTCCAGATGGGTTTGCTTTGCTTTTTCCGACTTGGGCCTTTGTGTTTCCTGCAGATTTTTCTAACCTCTCTTGTCCTCTCTGGTATTTGCAAACCCTCCCAGTTCTCCATCCTCAGAGGATTTTGTGCATGTGTTATTTCCTCCCTCATCCCAAGTGCTCCCAAAGCCTGGTAAACACAGCCGGTCCCCGCAGACCACCACCAGACCCACACTCTCAATCTGCTCCAGATTGCAGAGCCCCGCAAGCCCTCAGAGAGGACACAAACATCTCTGCAGTGGAGTCAAGCCCACGAACCCCAAACATCTGCTGGACCCAGCCAAAAACCTCAGGGCAAGACATGGAGCCTCACCTGATGCTGCTCACCATGGGCCAGAGCATCCTCAGCTCCCAGCACAGCACCTTCACAGCGTGGGAAGTGGGGCCTGCACTGGTTTGCCCCCAGTGCCTCTGCAGCTCCTCCGGGCTGGAATCACTCACTGAAGGTGCAAACCTCCCTTGCCCCATCCAGCTCAGGGTATTTGATAACTCCCTGCCTAATGCAATCTCCTGCGCTCAGTAATCACAGCTGCTTCCCACCCCACACCTGGCAAGACCGGAGGCATTGCAGGGAATACCCGCTCTGGGAAGCGCTGTGCCTTTCCTTTGATGTATCCCACCCCCTGCTTCCCTTCCCCTCTCCCAGCATCTGGAAAATCCCATCCTCCGGGCGAGCTTGTTCCCCTCATTCCCCGAAGGAAACCTTGAGAAGCTGTCAAAGCAACGCTCCTCGTCTCATTTCTCCTTTATTCCTTCCTAAGGGACAGCCCCAGCTTCTCCCAAGGAGCTGCGCAGGGGCAGGATGTGGCCCTGTCCTGATGTGCACCGTGGCTGTTAAGCTGTGGCTGCAGTGCCCTTCCATGCCCACCAGCACCAACATTTCATCCCAAATCCATAGCTCGGGGCTGGGAAATAAAGAGGGTTTTGTTGTTTCTCTGTACCCGGGGAGCTCAGCTCTGATCCTTTAATATTGCACATTCATTTTGAGGGAAGCAGGAGGGACGGGAGGCAGAGCTGAGCTGCCAGCCCTGCAGAATCAGCTCTCAGGAGCATCCCAGGAGCTGCTGTCCCCCGGCCGTGTCCATCACTGTGTTTGCCATGGAGGGACAGGCTGGAGCTGAGCCAGAGCCAGTGTGAGGGGCAGGGCTGCCCCATGGAGGCACCCCTCTGGGGGCTTGGGCTCCAGAAAGGATGCTGGGATGCTGGCACCGGGCAGCTCGGCTCTGCCCTGCAAGGACCAGTGCTCAAGGCCAGGTTGGACGGGGTCTTGGGGGATATGGTTTAGTGTGAGGTGTCCCTGCCCATAGCAGGGGGTTAGAACTGGATGATCTTAAGGTCCTTTCCAACCCAAACCACTCCATGATTCTATGATCCACGTCCGTGGTACCCATCGGAGCCATCAGAAAGGGATGCTGAGGACCCACCAATTCAGTACACCCCGTGTCCAGCCCCATCCCGGGATGCAGGCAACCCACCCAGGCCTGGTGCGGTGCTGCCGGCCAGGATGAACACCCGGACCACAGTCTAGGGAGGATCCTCTCCCTCCTGGCTCCCTCCAGAGCCATGTGTAATGGCTCCAATAGGAGAGACGGGAAAAGCTCCGGGGAGCTGCGGCTCCGCGTTCCCAAATGTCAGGTGGAGGTGGAGGGTGGAGGAAGTGTTTTCATCCCGAAGGCATCTGCACTGTGCTTCCAGCCGAGGCAGATGCTCTGGGAGCTGCTCCTGGGGCCTCCCAGGATCTGTCTCCCTTGCGGACGGAGGGTTGCAGATGCCAGGGCTCTTTCCTGCTGTTCCCAGCATGGCAACGGGATGCAGCAGCCTGGAGAAGTGCCGCTGGTTTCTCCTCCTTTAGCCACCAGCAAACCCTGCCCAACGCACAGAAGGCTCCCAGGAGGGAAGGGGAAGAGCAGGGCAGCAAATGGCACCAGCCCGATGGATGCGTGCAGCAGGCACCATCCATGCGCCCCCCGGGGATGGGATTCACCATCTCTGCCCTGCTCCAAGCCCAGTGGGTGATGTGGGGCAAGGAGAGGGGAGAAGGTGACAGGTCCCACACAGCCTGTTTGTTTCTGAGTGCAGACCGGGGCTTTGCTGGAGCTGGAGGAATTCATCTTGCTGAAAGAGCCTTGTTTTTCATGGAGGAAATGAGACAGCGGCTTTTAATAGGAAATAAAAACACATAAAGTCAAGAGAAACTGAGACACGGGCCTGGAAAAACCTGGAGCCATCCAGCAGCGTCTCGCCAGCAGCACGGCCCTTGCCAGCAGCTCCAGAGCCTGCACTGGGCTGTACAGCGCAAGGAGCTCGTCCCCCAGCCCCACAGCACATCCCATGGGTCCCCATCGTATCCGTGTGGATTCTGCTCCTGCTCCTGCCCCTGTGTCCTGTTTTTGCACACATGGGGTGGCACGGGCTGTTTGGGGGTGGATGGGTGGATAAGGGAGGGAGGGAGGGGTGGATGATGGGTGGATGATGGGTGGATGATGCGTAGATGATAGGTGGGTGGGTGGATGGATGGATGGATGGATGGATGGATGATGGGTGGATGGATGGATGGATGGATGGATGGATGGATGGATGGATGATGGGTGGATGATGGGTGGGTGGATGGATGGATGGATGGATGGATGGATGGATGGATGGATGGATGATGGGTGGATAGATGGATGGATGGATGGATGGATGGATGGATGGGTGGATGGATGATGGGTGGATGGATGGATGGATCAATAGATCCAGCTGCCGACCTCCAAGGAAAACATTGATGTTTCATGACCAGGAATCACTCAATAACTCCCCAGAGGGTTGACTCTTGCAGGTGTGCCACCAGCGCTCAGTGTTCAGGACTGGGGATTAATATTGATACAGGTCAGGACAGAGGCAGTACACATATACACGTACAGCACCAAAAGCCCTGATGGTTTCCTAGCTGATGGTGCTCTGCCGGCCATCTGCCCAATGCCCTGTCCACAGGGCACCACTCCCCCATGTACAGTATGTGCTCCAACAAACACGCATGGAAAACCAGCCAAATGCGTGGTTTACAGGGATTCGCACCAGGATCAGAGACCATTCATGGCTCATAACTCATCTGCATGGATTAAACAGCAAATGAGGGGTTTGGTGGTGGGAGATGGTGGCAGTGCAGGGGGAGAGGCTGGGGAATAGCCCTGGAAATGTGTCTGAAGGAAGGTCACGGCTTTGTGGACACACAGGAAAGAGCTGATTAAATCAGAATGAAATGCACATCTGGAACATCTGTGTGGGGCCTCGGGGCCTCCTCCCGACGGCATCGGGCTGCTCCATGTCCCTTGGACCCTGCACCAGAGCTGTCCCATCACAGTGGCTCCTTGGACCATGAGCCAAACTGGCACCATCCTCTGCTCAGTGGCTGGAAAACATCCCCAGAGCCCAGGAGGGGCCATCCTGAGCCTCTCACACCACGTCAGAGCTCCCGGATTCAAGGCTGAGCCTTCCCCATCGCTCCAGTGCCGCTTCCACACCCGGCTTCTTTCCATTAGACAGCATCCTGATGTATGTATGAAATCACACTTCTCCTTACGGAGCTGTTGGCTATGGAAGGAAACAGCCATAGCTACGGGTGCAAACAAGAGGTGTTTCCAC